GAACAGAGGCACCAGAATCAATCCACCAAGAATTTGAGGGAACATCAACTAAATTTGTTTCACAACAAACATGAACTAAATCCTTACCTCCCTTCTTCTTCAAGCACTGCTTATACTTCAGACAGTCTCTCTTCATATGACCAGGTTTCTTACAGAAGAAACATTCAACCTTTTCTCTTGCTGAAGAAGTGCTAGAAACAGTGGAAAAATTACCGAAAGACTTCTCCCCCTTATTGTGCCCTTGATTCTTGAATGATTTCTTTCCTGCCTTATTTGGTCCAAGCTTGTCATGTGCTAGATTTGCCATCTCAGCTTTTTCTGTTTTCAGCCGCTCTTCTTCAGCAGCTGACCACCATGAGAGGGAGTGGGAAAATGTCCACAAATATCTGTATGAATGAGGTCAAGGAGACTTCACTCCTAGGAGCTTCAAATTTTCTCAATTTAGTCATCTTTCCCTTGATACAGTCAACACAAGTACCAAAAATTAGAGAAATCTAACTATTCAAGAACACCAGACTTTACTAAGGATTCCAATCTCTTTCTTGAAGCATTTCCCAATCTCCGGTGCCAAAGTATGGAAGAATTACTATTAAGCATAGGACGCTTTGTACCAGAAGAAGATGAATTCACAGTCATACAGAGAGGGGTAGGAAAAGGTGCATCCAGATTTAATCTATAAAGACCATGTCCGATAACATCCAAACCTTTTCTGATAGAAACATAATTATTCTTAAAACCAAAGGTATAACAAAATCATGTCCGATAACATCCAAACCTTTTCTGATAGAAACATAATTATTCTTAAAACCAAAGGTATAACAAAATCCAAAAAGTCTAGAAACTGAAATAAGATTCTTTCTCATAGAAAGTACATAGAAAGTGTCTGATAAAACTAAAGAAACTCCAGAATCCAAGCGCAGACTAAAAGTCCCAACGATCTCCACCTCCAAAGGCTGTGAGTTTCCCAAAAATAGCTGCTCATTTGCCCTTGCCTTTCGACTGTTTTGATTATTCCCTGTAATGAAGTTGAAATGTGAACAGAGGCACCAGAATCAATCCACCAAGAATTTGAGGGAACATCAACTAAATTTGTTTCACAACAAACATGAACTAAATCCTTACCTCCCTTCTTCTTCAAGCACTGCTTATACTTCAGACAGTCTCTCTTCATATGACCAGGTTTCTTACAGAAGAAACATTCAACCTTTTCTCTTGCTGAAGAAGTGCTAGAAACAGTGGAAAAATTACCGAAAGACTTCTCCCCCTTATTGTGCCCTTGATTCTTGAATGATTTCTTTCCTGCCTTATTTGGTCCAAGCTTGTCATGTGCCAGATTTGCCATCTTAGCTTTTCCTGTTTTCAGCCGGCTCTTCCTCAGCAACGCATACAACAATAAGCTCATTCAAATCCCATTTCATGTCTTGAGAATTATAGTTCACCTTAAAGTGACAAATTTGCTTGGTAAAGAATCGACTGCAAAATGAACCATCAGAACATCCTCTAACTGAAGTCCTAACTCCCTGAGACGAATGATCAACTAAGAGACCTTCAAAATGTGCTGACGAACATCACCACTACCATCATATTTCAGATTAATGAGTTTGACCAGATAACTATACTTTCTTGCTCTAATGGATTCCTCAAGTTGCTTCTTGATGGTCTCAAGCAATTCCTTAGCAGTTTCACAAGCCGGAATCCTCCTACAAATAGTCTGGTCTACTAATGCTCTAATGATCAACATTGTAAGCTTGTTGGCTTTGACCCACTTAGTATGAGATTTCTTTTCAGATAGACTTGATGACTCATCAAGCTCTTCTGGCTTATCTTTAGTGAGAACATAGTCGTAGTCAAGACACACAAGTACTATTTCAACTTGCATCTTCCAGTTGCCATAGTTGGAACCGGTGAGGGGCTCAATCCCAGTCAGATGCTTCTGGATAAATTGTCTGTCCATCTGCATAAAGCCATGTACATATAAATCAAATGAGACATTTAATTTTATTAACTTTAATATTTCCTCATACAATTTAGGTTAGAATGGATGAGTCAGAGTGTTTTATGTATGCAACCTTCCACTCTGCGGGATAGGCGGGTGCATCATCTCATCACATCTTTAGGCAAGTGATTTGACATGCTATTCACCCCCCAAATGTGATATATATAATCACCTACAAGACTAGCCTACACAGCGTCAGTTTGATTTGAACACTTCCTAACCTTTGGGCAATAGGGTTATTCTCCTCTCACTGACCTGTTTCAACTATCCTGTACCACTTATCCTGTAGGGGATTTCTTAGACACCTTTGGGCAAGACTAGTAGTCCATCCATAGGTAAGTGTAGCCTTCCAGTCCAAATGAGACTAAACTCAACCTTAGAAAATTAGGGTATTATAGGTTGGTCACCTTTGGGCAAGACACTAACCTACTCTACCATAATTTCTAAGTGACTGTTTTACTAATCTACCTTAACCCCATAGGTTGATCTAATACTTTAATTCATTTTATCATGAACCCAAATATTTACCCCATCTGAATTAAGGATATAATCAGGGTAAATCAATTATCTTTATATGCATACAATAATTTTTATGAATTGTCCAAATTCCTGTATTAAAACTTTATGAAATGAAAATAAAAATTGTATAGTTTTAAAATACACAAATGATCTTTCCAATGACTATTTATGGGCTCAAATCAAACTTAAAACGGATCTGTAGCGACCAAAACAAAATGAATGGTCAAAACTATAATGTGTCGGGTCTGGAAATTAATGGGCATGACCCATTTCATAATAGGTTGGGTCCGAATTTTAATGGATCCAATACATTACTGTAGTGGGTCGGGTCCATTAAATACTGGACCGGGTCTGGCTTAATGAGGTTATAGGGTTATATAACTCAAATAATAAATGGTAGTTAATTATACTAATTAATCTAAGTATTTACTAATTAAATTAATTAATTAATTAACTAAAACCCTAACCCTAAACCCACCCAACCCAACCCTTACTACCGCCGCCAGCACCCTACTGTCGACGCCAACACCCAACCCTCCGCCGCCGGCCGCATCCTAGACATCGCGCCGCATCCCTGCCGCCACGCCGCCGATAAAAACGAGATCTACGAGAACTCAACGAGGGCGTCGCAATCCTAGCTGACCTCCTTCTCGAAGTTAGAGTTCGTGAGGACGATGATGTCGCCTTCGTTGGCGAGCGACGGCGGGATGAGGAAACTCAGCAAAAGAAAACCTAGATGGCCATGGTATAATGTTTGCTGCGGCCATGGTTGCTGCGGCCATGATTAAAATATTTTTTTAATTAATCCAGATGCAAAAGATTCATGCGCAGCAAAGATGAAATTTGATTAATTCGAATATATATATAAAAGAGATGAAAGTCGACAGATTTCTCTCAATGATCAATGGCCTGCGGCGAATTTCTTTGACCAATTTTTAATCCGAAAATTAAAACTTTAATTCTAGATCAAAAAATTCATGCACAAACAGGCTCTGATACCATCGTTGGATAATATAACGATCTAGACATGAATAGTTGAACTAGAAAAAATAGATTAAAGTTACTGTTCACTGTCAAAACAATGGAAGTCTTGTTCTCTCTCCTCCCGTAACCAATGATGAGAATTTTGGTCTCTTTTCTGCGTACGGCTGAGAGGAGTGACTCCCACCCTTAAATAGATATTTGTGATTAACCCTACCCATCATGGTTTAATCATAACCGTGAGATTACACTCCAATCGATCTTATCCTTTAGATATTTAAGGTAACCACAAAACTTGATAAACATGAAACTGTCTAACCAGACCATGTGGTTAACATCCTGATCCTAACTTGAATCGATGGCAACTTTAAATCAAATCCAAAATCGAGTAGGTTGGGCCTGATCCTAACTTGAATCGATGGCAACTTTAAATCAAATCCAAAATCGAGTAGGTTGGGCCACATGGGTTCGTTGGATTAATCGAACCCCTTTAAATCAAATCCAAAATCGAGTAGGTTGGGCCACATGGGTTCGTTGGATTAATCGAACCCAACATTAAACGTTGCCTATATGTACTATATAGTTAACTTTATAGTGTTTATTTACAAAGAAGCTTACAAGAGGGTTCAACTGGCACTGCTAGCTTTTGGTAAGAAGTATTTACCGGTTACCTATATGTACTGTATAGTTAACTTAATAAATTCCTAATCATTCATCTATCACGGTTACTGATAGTTCATTTTAGACAGTTTTGCTTTTTTTTTTAATGTAATTTTTTTAGTTAAATGTAACCCGTGTATTTTGTGTAGTGATAAGGTAGGATCGAAGCATAAGGCTCGACCAGCCGCTGATATTCGAGCATATTGCGACTTTTGTGACTTGAAAGAAAGTTTATGAGGGTAGCAATTACAATGGAGAAGGTAGTTACCAAATTACCCCTTTGTCATGTACAAAGTTTAGAACTGTTCATTCACATGCAGGCCGGTAGACTAATGCTGATATTTGTTCGATATTTGTCCATTAAATATTTGAAATTAATCTCACAAATCATTGAAATAGCTATTTGGTCCTTCAAAATTTGTTAGTTATTTTAAACAATTTCCTCTTAGTTTTATTTAATCTAATGTGGGTTGGGATAATTGTTAACAAAGAAACAACAGATTACATTTCGACCCTCAACTAGTTGTTTCATATCTGAAAATCCTCCAAAAAATATTAAAGAGACAAGTGTAATGAAGCGGCTCTAGACATGTTTAAGGAGACAAATCTGAATTTGGATTAAGAATAACTTTTAATAAAGGGGTATGGTGAGAAACCCGTGAAAAAAATTTAAGTTGAGTTAAATATTCCCTCCAAATCAAAGAATAACAAGCTGTAGGGACTAAGTTGGAATATTCAGTATGCTTTGAGGGACTAAATAGCAAATTTGATGTTTTGAGGCTAAAACTTCATAATATATTGAAGATTTAACGGACCAACGTGAAAAAGCCCAAACGAAATTCCCCATCTGGGACAATTCTCGCCATAAACCAAAAAAGACCAGGTCAATATTTCCTCCTTTCTCTTTTAAAATCTAAAAAAACAAAGTGAAAAAGAAAAGGGCAAAAAAAAAAAAAAATCCCAAATTTTCATCGACCGGCCGATTAATCTCTCATCGGCCGGCGACAACAACGGCGATTTCATTCATCTAAACGAACAAGGGGAAGAAGGAGCGCAGAAACCCTAGATTTCGTTATTACGACCTCGATTGATTTCAGATTCGAGATCGGATGAAGATGATAACGCGTTCGAATCTCGCGGAGCAATTGAGGGAGTATCAGATCAGATCTAAGTATGATTGGGCTTCTGTTTCCTTCTTCTCATCTACGTCTAGCGTCTCGTCGACGAGGTAACTTAATTTTTGTTCTGTGGCTAGGGTTTGATTTTGATCGTATCTGGTTGTTCTCCTTTGTGTTTGTTTATAGAAAATTTTGATTTAAAGGTGAAGTTTTTGTTCATGATATGCTGGAAATTTTATTATTATTATTTTGGGTAAAAGTACATCCCTTTCATCATTACCTTCATCAAACGTTTGAGTTTCGACTAGAAGTATTGATCAATTTCAGATCTACATTTAGTCCCGCATTGACCAAATTGGGGTTAATGGGGACTCAAATGTTGATTTATAAGAGATTTGGGCTCCTGAAACTCTTACAAATGATACCAGATCTACATCCCAGTTGCAACAGAGCGGGACGGGTGGTTATGCTGGTATTGCGGCGTTCGGTCTGGATTAGATTAGTGGCGCTATGACCCCATCCGGGAATGCAGAATCATGTGGGCATGTTAAGATGCATTGATTCCGACTTTAATAAATCAGTAGTCAATTCATGATTTATAAGATATTTAGGTTCGCTTCATCTAACTCTAGCTTTTAGGGGTGAGTTCTCCCTAGATTTTTACAGTTCTCTCCATTTGCTGTCTTCTTTTGATTCCTTGGTCTTTACCAAATTTTAGCATATTGAATCATTTTCTTGTATAAAAACAATAACTTTAATTTGGGAACCTGATAATCTGAACAATATATTTTGCTAAAAAAATTATCCAAAATGGTCTACTTTGCTAGTTTTAGGTTGCTTCTATTATCATTAACCAAGTTGGTAGACAGTGGTTGTTTACATTTTTATCTTCCTATATCTAACAACGATGCTTGGCCTGGGTGTGCATGGTTATATTTCGCCACTTCCCATGAAATTAAAGTTGGTTTCTGTTATCCTACCCAGCACAAAGAGAAAACAGCTACCCTATTTTTCCTCTTAAATCCTTCACAAATGGTAGACTGCTGGTAGTGAGATAGGTTTCCAGACCTTAACTAGCTTAGACGTAAAAGAAAGGGTAAATTGCACTTAAATACCCCAAAGTTTCCCCCTCCGTCACTTATATACCACAAGCTGTATTTTGTGTCAAAAAATACCTTAAGTTGTTAAAAAATTGGCACGTAAATACCCCCAATCATTCAAACGCGAATTTTTTTTACCTAAATGTACTTATATAACACTAGCATGTTAATTTTATACCCTTTCTAATCATTAATATTTATTAAATTTATCCTTAGACATATCCCTACTCTATTTTAAAGTGGAATTAAGATAAGTTTGGAAAAGATTTTAGTTGATTTGATATCAATTTTGACAAATAATAATAGTCACAAAGCTCTAAAATTTGCACGTTTGCATGATCAACCGCACTCGTGATAATTTTTTTAACAATTTATAGTATTTTGTTGACACAAAATATAACTTGTGGTATATAAGTGAGTAAGTGACAGAGCGGAAAAACTTTGTGGTATTTAAGTGCAATTTAGCCTAAAAGAAAATCTAATTTCACTTATCTCTAAAGCCTGCGTATGGGGCCACACTACCTTTGAGTCAAACCTTAGTTGATACGTGATTTGCCGAATCAAGCTTATGATGAACAAACATGCAAAATAATAAAATCAGCTTGAATAGTGTCACTAACTCATCTGTCTTTCTTTGTCCCTGCCACCTCTTCTCTCAGAGAAAAGGCTAGACTTCGGTTCTTGACTCACTATTAGAAGTATGTCTCGTTAGAACCGACATCTCATTATTGAAATCCTTAACCCACTTCTATTAGCTAAACTAGTAAAGAAGGTCTTAACAAATTCCATATCTAATAAATAGGTTAAGAATTGGTCCCTCATCCTTTCTCGTGCATTAATCTCACGGAGGTGATTGTAGATAAATATGGGGAAAGTTGACGATGACAGAGGCAAGAAGCAAGGTCATTGGACGAAAGGTGATAATAGGAAAAACGGTTATATAGCGTGAGGACCATCAGATTCTTTTCATTTTTTCCCCTTGGTAGAACCTAATTATTGCCCTTAATCCATAGGTAGGGTAGGCTAGCTGCTTGCCTTCTCCTAGGCAGTTCCCTGGCACCTAAATTGCTTTTTGAAACTTTGATCTTGAGTAGAAAAATTGGTTATTCCTAGATATTTCTCGACAATCGATATGGTCAATTTTCTTACTCATTATTTTGTTTAAAATTGAGTTCCACTTGTTTTATCTACTTATTGCTAAGTCTAACTTCTTAACGTTGTAAGGCCTTTTTTAGCTTTTCACTACGGAAATTACCATTCTTAACGGTCTATTTGGCAAAGTGCTAAAGCTAGTTTTAGTTAGGATAAGCCCAATCCAATAACACAGTCCCAGTTTGGAAAATAAGATTGTTAGGCTAAGCTAGTTCTTTTCTGGCCCAATTTTGCCCCATAACTGGTCCCCCCCCCAAAAAAAAAACCAATGTTCCCCTAGTTTGAAGCTATGATGCACGGATACGGATACGGGACACGGATACGACACGGACACGGATACGGGATACAGCAAAATCCAAAAAATAGGATACGGGGATACGGCAGGGAATTTTTTTAAAAATTATTATTATATATAGAATATTTTAGTAAAAAATAGGATACGGGGATACGGCAGGGAATTTTTTTAAAAATTATTATTATATATAGAATATTTTAGTCAATTAAAGTATTAAACTTGTACGTTAATTTTCATTCAAGCTTGCAAACTATTCAAACTTTCATACTAGTATACTGCATCACTAACAACTATATTGCTAAATTTTATTTTCTTCTTTATAGGTTACAAATGGCGAATCAAGTTTTAAGTTTCAACTTTCAAGTCAACTAGTAGCACTAGGCATAGCTCAATAGCAAGAATCAATACTCGCACTCTCGCAATCTCGCACATGAAAACAAATCGTAGCACATTTTCAACAATTATGACCGATATGTATTAATAAGAAACAAGCAATTAGTTTTGCAAAAAATAGTTAACAATTAACAGTGATAATAATAAAAAAAACCAGTAGTTAACAGTTAAGATAAATCTCTCCTTAAATCTCACTTTGTAAAATAGTTACATTTCAACAGTTAAACAAATCTCTCCTTAAATCTCTCCTATTATTAATCAAAATAGTCCACAAACCAAACTTTAATAATTACCTATTATTAATTAAAAATCAGTTTACTTACTTACTATCTCAAATAATTAACAGTTAAACATTCAAAAACATTGCTTTATAGTTAAATAAGAAACCATTAACAGTTAACAGTAAATGTCTTAACAGTTATAGTTATATAAGTAAATGGCTTAACAATCAAAAAAAGAAACCGAAGCAGCAGCAAGAAAAGGAAAAAATGTGAAAAAAGAAACGGGAGAACAATGGAAAAGAAACGGGAGAACAGTGGAAAACTGAGCAGAAAAAAGAAAATAAAAAAACTTAAATGAAAACAAATGAAAGAAATAGTGAAAAAAAGAAGGGAAACGATGAAAAATAAACCGAAGACCGAACCCAACACAAATAAAAGAAAACGGGAAAAAAAAAGAAGGGAAACGATGAAAAATAAACCGAAGACCGAACCCAACACAAATAAAAGAAAACGGGAAGAGAAAGGGAGAACACCGAAGACCAAAGAGAAAGGGAGAGAACGAAAGCCCTAAAAAAGAGAACTTCAAAACAAAAAAAAACCCGGAAAATAAAAGAAAACTGAAAAAAGGAGAAGAACCTGCTTGCCGCTCTCTGTCGCCGCTCGCCGTCGCCCGTTGCCCGTCGCCTTCGCCCCTGCTTGCCGCTCTCTGTCGCCGCTCGTCTTCGCCCTCGCCCTGCTGAGTGGAGATCGCTGCTTCCTTTTGCTTTCGGGAGAAAGAGTTGGAGAAGGAGCGACAAAAAACCCTAGGAACCGCTTCTTTTGATTTTCGGGTTCAAGTGGAAATCGGGTATGTACCCAATAACCCAATAACCCTAGCCACCGCTTCTTTTTTGCTTCTTTTTTTTGCTTCCGTCGGGCGCAGTAGGCGTGTCTGAGCCGTGTCCAACTCCCTGTTGACCGTGTCCGGCCAACTTTGACCGTTGACCCGTGTCGGACACAGATTGACCGTTGACCCGTGTCGGACACAGATTGACCGTGTCCGACACGTGTCGTGCACGTGTCTTGCGCGAATCGTGTCTGATTCGTGTCAGACACGGATTCGTGGCCTCTGGGGGAGTATCCGTGCTTCATAGGTTTGAAGTAGAACCAGATAAGTTTGATCCCAAATGAATAATAGGAAAGGAGAAAATATATTGTCATTATCAAGTTGACAAAGAAAAATATTTTTTTTATTAAATTGGTTCTAGTTCTTTTGTAAATCAGTAGGAATATCATTAGTTAATAAAGCATGGGTAGTTTACATGTTATTTAACACTTCTGTGATATTACTAAGCTCTACATGCTACAAAACCTATAGCTCCTATTATGAATTGAGTTGCTTGCTTCTACCTCATGTTCTTGTTGCGCATAAACCTCCATGTTCTGTAACCTCCTTCGAACTCCTCCTACCTCCACTAACTATGAACACCTACACCTCTCTCGACTTTTAGAAAATCAACTCCACCACTACTTAAACAGAGAAAGAAATCTGCCTAGGCTCCTAGGCGCTAAGTGCCAGTCCGACACCTAGTAGTGCCTAGCGCTTTCTATAACATTGGCATTTATTATCAATTATTGTAACTGAAAAAAGGAAAGTCGCCTATGCCCTACCTAGGCTCTAGGTGCCGGATCTAGTGCCCGGGCCACATAGCGCCTTCTATAACACAACATTAAATAATGTATAGAATACTAGAATTGAGGGGAGAAACAATTTATTTGGATACAATTTTTTTTCCAAGAAAAGGTTTGTTCCTGTTAAAGCTTTGAGAATTAATCTCTTTTAGATATTTTGTAGCATATTCATTTATCAAAGTGGTGTACAGCTGATAGATTCATCCCAAGGGTAACATTTTAGTAGCATCTAGAAGTTAATCAATGCATGGTATGCTTCTAAGGTTTTCCATTTCTAGGTTATAGTTGTCAGTTTGTCTATAGAAGTTGACTGCTTTGGATCTATTAAAAGCAAGAGAAGTCAAATTTGCTGAACGTGTCTAATATTTCTTTTGCAGGGCGGACATCTTGTATGTGATATGGGAGATTTTAATGTTTGTTTTCCTTGTTTTCTCGGCGGTTTCGTTGTACTTCAGGTACATGAAGCTTGCTCTTATATTAATATGCCTTATGGCATTCTTTCTTGTGTGCATGAAAATTACAAAGCAAGTAAGGCAGAACAGGAAAAGTAAGCGAAGAATGCTCCTGCCATTGTCAATGTAAAGTTATTGGCAGCCTGCCCTCTTGAAGTGGCTGTCTTTTTCTGTGCAGACGTATTGTTTTTGTCTTTTTTTGCCGAAATTTTGGGGCACATGTATTTTCCTTCTCTCAGTTGAGTAACGTTCTTTCATGCATATGTTTCTTCTATTAATTTGGAAGATAATTGATTTACTAGCCTCTGCAGGATAGCATTGGCCACGATATACTAAGTACAAGTTTATGGGTGCAAGTTTGTTAGCATTTTTCTAAATCTGTGTTTGGTAGTTCCCAAGTCTGGAAGCATGTTACCAGTTTATATCTTTACGAAAGTTTTATATAGGGTGGGTTTCCTGAATTAAACTCCTTTCTGATTAGAGGAGTGCAAGGAAAGAATAAGATGATTAATTGGGTGCAAAACTATTATAATATATTACAAAACAAAAACTACTAGCTACCTTCCCTTTCCTATATATAATTAATTCACTATAATATTTTGCAGCCAATTATTTTGAATGGCTGGACTTGCAGCACCTTTCTACACCATCTTGAATAACTTTACTTGCGAACCAAGCAACTATGTTGCATGTCAGGTACTTCCATAAAGGACACGTTTGTCCGTTCCCTGCGTGTATCAGAACAGTGGTACCTTGGTGCCTGGATACTTGTTGGAATGTCCTTTGATGTTAGCTAAAATTTGTAATATGCCCAAACATATCAAAGATGTATTTGGAGACTTAACAAGTGAAAAGTCTAGTGCATTCACAATGAGTTCCAATTCCATTTAGTTTTAGATAAGATTCACTAGTTCTGCTGCTTTTTTCAACAAAGTTCGATAGTTTGTCCATTTTCTTCATGAAAATTTGAGTATTCTATATTAGCCAATGCTTTATAGAACTCGGAAACATCATGTATTTCCTCAGTTTTCTTTTTTCTTTTTCTTTTGGGTGACCGTTATGGCATTGCACCCATCTCCATGGTATAGAACATTTAACAATATGCACGTATGTACTTCTATCGTTGCCATTGCCATAAATATTCATTCCGTGGTTTCTCAAGATTAAGGTCTTTGTGCCTGTTTCATTTCATGTTTATATTCCTTACCAATAGCACACTGCCTTTATCATCACAGCTTATGTAATTTCCATACCGTGTGAACCATTGTAATAATACATCTTGTTCCCTCATGTTACCTTCTGACCAGGATATTTATATAGCAAGCAGATTTTATCTTGGTTATTCCTAAACTAGTTATAAGGAAAACTTTAGTTTATATTATCGTCCTGTGTTCTGATCACTCTTTTCCCTTGTGTTTTTGGAGTGTAGTTCCATTATTTATACTTTTCGGATCTTTTATATTGTTTCTTGGTAGTTTTATATTCTCCGCTGCTATATTGATGCCATATGCTGCATGGCATGTGGACGTTGACAACTAATGCTACATGGGCCACTTGGATGCCCTAATTTGAGGGGAGAAAATCAAATTCCAACAATGAATTACAATCTGTGTGTGGAAATAAAGGAGTGTGGGTAAGTTTGATCTTTCTGGAGTGACAAAATTCATCACATGGTTCTGTATCTCATCGAAGATATGAAGTTGGTTTATCAAGAAATACCACCACTCTACAGGTTGTTTGTTTCTTGTCATTCTTCTGGCTTGGTGTCATGCCAGAAGATCACGGATTCATAAACTGGAGGAGCCTTTTGCAGTAAACAGCATTTTGCTTTGCTTTACGAAATTATGATATATTTTGGTAATGGAAACTCCTATTTTGGTTGTATCATTTTGGTGGTTTTACTATCTTGTAAATCTTCTGCTTCAATTGAAAATGTTGTACTTGCTACTGGATAATCCAGCGTCTGCCATCGCAAAGATAAACCTCACTGCGTATTGCAAGATTTTTTTTTTATTGTTTTATCTCTGGGATAACGTATATATGTATTTTTTAGATGCATCTTTGGGTTAACATTGAATGCTGGTAATACACGGTTCTCAGTTAAAGCATGAGTCCGTACCTAGTATTTTGGCTATACTGAAGCAAGCTGGTACTTAAGAGGTTTTTAGGTCTTATGCTTAATTCACCGTTTGCGTTCCAAGGATGGTTACGGATAGATCCCCTGTAAGCTTATTAAAAGTCGTCTCAAATGGTGGAAGAAACACATATATGGCTCTTCGAAACAAAACAACTCAAAAGTCCTAGCTTCTTTCGACTCCCTCCATTCCATTGAGGAATCTAGATCTCTTAACAAGGAAGAGATCCTTTCTAGGTTTAAACTCAAAGATGATCCCTTCAATATAGCCAAAAATGAAGAAATTTACAGGAAACAAAGGTCTAGAGTGCAACGGCTCAAGGAAGGTGATTTAAACACTTCTTTCTTTCACAAATAAGCTGTGCCAATCATACGAGAAAGAACTTCATTCCTAATCTTTTGGTCCACATAAGTTAATTGCTCCTACGAGATAAGATAGTCGAATCGTCAACGGAGAGAAAATTTGACGCAAGCATTCGAAGGAGGCACTCCATCGCTACCGAGAAGAATCCGGTTTTAAACAAAGGGGAGAATCCGAATCATTCTCCTCTCTTTTGTAATCAAAATCCAATTGTAATTGAGATCGAGAGAATTTAAATCAAATTTATCTTTCATTTCTTTTACTATAAATTTTTCACAAACAAAAAATAACGACTCCACTGGGGATTAGCTTTTCTGACGAAGAAGTGGTGGCATAATCCGACGTCCACCTCACGGGAACAACTGTTAAAACTCTTATTGTGGAGTTTGACCAAGCCAAATACGAGGAAGCCCTCTCCTCTAGATCACTTAGCCCCAAGGCTAGACGCGACATCCGCAAGATCTCCAAGGATATCAAAGCTATTGCTAAAATACCAAAGAAAGCCCTCTCCTTTGGCCCAAATTCATCAAACAACCCCTCCTCTAAAGGAGTGGGCTTAGCTTCTGCCAAACTCGTCCAATAAGTTGACCGTTCTACGTCCGCGTCAACACAATGTGCTACGGGTCACAAACGGCCTATGGAAGAAATGAGCTCTATAAACGCCAATGACGCTGCTGTAAAGGCTTTGAAACAAGCTAAAAAGAACGCCGCTCGAAGACGGAGAAGATCCATACGACGAGCACATCTTTGAGAAAGCTGAATTCTTTCCCAACGTGAGGATCACATTTTTGAGGCTCCGCCCGAGCATAGTGTGTCCACCCCGGAATGTACACTCCGCGGCAATGAGCCCAATTATCAGCCTCGACTAATACAGCTGAAACGCGACCCTCAGTGGTGTATTATTTCTCTAAAATGCAGCCCTCGGGAAAGTGCTGCCAAAGATAAATGCACACCTCACATGTGCGTTCAAGCAAAACATGACCCATAAAAGTCTGTTTCACCAACCAAACGCGGCCCTCAGGGATGCGTTCAACCAAAATATGACCCTCAGAGGTCTGTTTCATCATTTAAACGTAGGACTCGACCTAATGTTTATAAATCCAAACACGACCCTCATGCTTCTTCTCGAGAGCATGACCCTCGCGTTTCTTCTCAAAAATACAACGTGGTCCGCCAAGTTCAACAAGGTCAACATGGGTTTAAAATCCATGTTTGACAAGAATCAGTCTTACCCACTCAAGAACATGGGTGCCATCTCCTTCCTCGCGCTTAGAAAAAGACCCCAACCAGGTGTCTGATTTACGAGAATTGCTATCGAGAGGGAGACCAACACATCAAGCAGCTCATTCATGCCAGTGTGAGAGGTTTATATTAGCAGTCCTTTCAGAATGTCACTGCTGTACACCTGAGCCTCGTAAGTTTGTGTTCGACAGATTGGCTGACGTCGCCAGATCTACCAAGCGACGACGTCATCATAAGAAGAAGGTTTCTAAAACTGAATATCCTAAGGTCACTGTCAACGTGATCGGCAGAGGGAAAGCCTCGGCTCCTAACTCTGGTGAATCAGAGAGAAGCCACTCTCCGACTGTCCGAGATATCTACGACGAGTTTGAAGGGATATATCATCACACTCGAACCCGAACAGGAGCCATCCGCTCGGTTAATTATCAAAAGTTAGCCAAGGGGATTACTTCAGATGATGAATATTTAGCAATTGCTGACTCTCAATCCTCAAGCTTTGTTGGGGCATGAGTGGCTCCCGTTTACATGTCTGGAGGCCCCGAAGACTTAGCCAAAAGAGTTGACGAACACCACGTCAGAGGGAAAGCCTCGGCTCCTAACTCTGGTGAATCAGAGAGAAGCCACTCTCCGACTGTCCGAGATATCTGCGACGAGTTTGAAGGGATATATCGTCACACTCGAACCCGAACAGGAGCCATCCGCTTGGTTAATTATCAAAAGTTAGTCAAGGAGATTACTTCAGATGATGAACATTCAGCAATTGCTGACTCTCAATCCTCAAGCTCTGTTGGGGCACAAGAGGCTCCCGTTTACATGTCTGGAGGCCCCGAAGACTTAGCCAAAAGAGTTGACGAACACCACGTCATGATCCAGGCGCAACAGGAGACACTTCTCCAAATGAAGGATATGTTGGTCCAACTCCTTGCTGAAAAAGACTAAAGATCGGAGTCCTCCTGGATGACAATCTCCAAAGGAAAGCAAAAAGCGCCTGAGCACTCAGAACATAAAACTCACAACCTGGAGTCTTCTTCTAAAAACGAGAGGGAAACGGAAAGAGAATCGAATCCTTAGTCAGCTAAAGTAGATGAGCTAGAAGCCCGCCTCAACGCAATAGCCAACAGAAGTGAGCTTCACGAGGAAGGAGTGATACGACCTTATCCTACTGAGTGGGACACAACTCCCTATCCGCCAAAGTTTAAGGCTCCAACTCTACAACATTTCGATGGTACAGGGTCACCGAACCAACACATCTACTACTTTAAGTCACAGACTGGAGATGTGATAGCGAATAACGCCATCCTGACCCATTTGTTCATCGGTACTCTTAAAGGGGTTGCCTTCGAGTGGTTTATGAAACTGCCTGCTAGATCTATTCAAAAATGGGTAGATCTAGAAAGGCTTTTCTTGGCCAGATTATTTGAAGATGACACAGAAGTTTCGGTCCCGACTCTTCTCGCCAACAAGCAGAGGAAAGGAGAGTCCATCAAGACTTATGTGGAATGATTCCGTAGTATGTCATTGTGATGCCCATCAGGTATGACCTAATCGACCTTAGTTGAAACTTACAGGCAAAACTTGCAGACTCAGCTCCTTTCTCAA